ACTTTCCTTTAACACAGTGGTTCTTAAACTTTTCAGAAGCAGAAAAAAGTTCACACTGACCATTCCACAGTGTTCTTGCAATCCTTATCAATAGGGGAAGCAAAACTAATAAAAAAGGATCCAGGAATTGTAGTGAAATAAAGGTCAGCACAATATCATTAGCAAACTTTTGTTTATTTATTTTCCCTACATAAACCATATTCCCTCAACTTTGTTTCACTCCATATTTTTCCCCTGTTCATACACAGCCCACCTGCAAAGGCTCTAATGCCCCACAGTTTGAGAACCACTGTTTCAGCACCACCATGACGTTAAAATTGATGGTTTTTTGTGAGATGTCTCAACAACTATTGGATGGATTTGATCCCCTGAATCAATGAATGAACTTGCCAAATTGTCCAAATTTCTGTTATGATTTAAATTGACTTCCCCTGTATGACAGAAAACTATTTTCACACACAGTGTAAACTGCTGTCAGCTAAAGAAGAACTTCCCCTATCGAGGCAGTGAGCATAGGTCACGCCATTATCAGCAATTCTTGTGAAAGGTGAGTTAATCAGCAACCCCAAGCTACTAAAATTAGCTCAGTGCTTGTTTGTACTGATGGCTTGCTGTTTCCCCATTTGATTTACCCACTGGGATCCACGCTGTTACAGAGCACAGTGGGTTGTTAGGCAGCCTCAACGTCATACTCCAATGGTGAGAATAACTAGTGTCATCACAGGGCAAAGTAGAGTGCAAATGCAAAGTACAGCAACTTCCAGTGCATTTTGAAATTCAAATTCTCTTCTCAAACAGAACTTCTTGACATCAGATACATTCTGTCTAAGACTGCCATTGCAAATAGGCATAAACTAATTTGTTTGTGATGCTAAACAATCAAGTCTAATGCAAAGTTTGAGTATATTGAGTGATCTTTACGCAAAATACAACATGTCTTATGGCTTCTTGTGCATTCTGCTTGGTTGAGGTTAAAAGAGAACAAATTGATATTCCATTCTACTATCTATCTACTGCTGAATGACTATGCAACTATTTGCTCTAGAGAGGTGATTCAAAGGAAGTGATGCGGAATTCTGATGTTCACATTGATGTTTTAGATAGCTTTTAGATTACAGTCAGTTGCTGCTGGAAATATCTCCTTGTGATGTCATGCCATCTACTGTATATTTGGTCAGATATTCAGACAAACACACGAACACACAACAGGAGTGACTCAGAAATGTAAGGGACATTCTTAAGAGGAGCACAGTACGTGTATGTAGCAGAGTCAGCATCACAAAGCCACACACAAATTCAGCTCTCAGGTTTTTTACACCAACAGAGAGTGTTTTAGAAGAGGACTCTGTCTGGCTTTGAGCTATATATTGTACTGCGATTACATAATGTGGCCTCAGACAAACTGAGGGACTGCTTCATAACAGCTCAGATGGAGTTACACATGTGTGATTGTTTGTGTTTTGAGAACAAATATCCCAACTTTTCCCTCAAGCTATGCTGTCAGTCTGCTCCCAGCTATCTGGAAGTGAACCTGCCTCTACGGCGTGTGTCTATCAACGCTCCTGATAAAGGTTTGAAAAAAGAATGATGGAGTGAAATCATAAAGGCACACTGGCTAAGTATTAATTAGAGGGTCTGTTACTTAGCCTATGACATTAGGTAACCACTGAACTGAAGAACAGATTAACATTAAGCTACCTGCACGTATCCTACACTGTATCCTGTTAGCCCCTCTGGACTTTTGTTCTGGGGCTAGTTCCAATTAAGGGGAAACTTAAATCTATAAAATATAATGATGTTTCAGACAAAAATGTAAGCTTTGTGTCAGCAGTTTGTCCCTTTCCTGTTTCACAATGACAACTCCCTCATACACAAAACCAGCTGTGTAAAGAAATGGTTTCCCCAGTTTGGTGTGGAAGAACTTGATCAGCCTGCACAGGGCTCTGAGCTCAACCCCACCCAACACCTTTGGGATGAACTGGAACACCGACTGAGAACAGACCTTATCCCCCAACATCTGTGTTGAATGTGGGCAAATCCCTGCAGCAGGTCCAAAGTTTTGCGCAAAGCTTACCCAAAGGAATGGAGGCTGCTGTGCAGTAGATTAAAGGTTATGCCATTTTGGAATAGATAGAAACTCATTTTCTTTCTTGCTGAGAGTTAGATGAGATCAATGTGACTCTCATGTCTGTGTACTATATGTGTAACTGGAGCCAGCAGCAGGTTTAGCTCTGTCTAAAGGTAACAAAATGTGTTTACTAGTTCACTAATTAGCTCTTTTAATTAAAAAAAGTCTTGAAACAGATTACATCAAAAAAATTTAGTAACAAACGCTTAAGTTAAAAACATTATTCCCGATTAAGTAGTTTTTACTAGTAATTCAAGGTGACACTAACTTAGTTTTGTTACAGAAGTTACAGACCCATTCCTGATTATGTACTTTTTACACTGTTTCACAGTACAAATAAAAATGACAAAATTAAGTTAAGTAATTAAGTCAAATTACTAAAGCTACCTTACCAAGAATGTTTTTTGTCTAATTACGGGACTTTTCATTAAAAATTTGAATTTACCTGCAGGTTTGACCAGGCAGGATGAGATGTCATGATATACTGACTAATGATACTAATGAAGACAGTAAACTAATTCAAGGTACCGAGATGTGTCAGTTTTCACAGTCATTGCAGCGGACACAACTAAAGTAGCACCTGGCTCTAGCTTGGCTGGATTGCCCATTACTTAATGGGAAAGATACCTAAAGCAGAAGGCCGGGGGGTAGAAAAGCTGGCTAATCTGTGTAACTCACAGTGATAAGCTCCTGAGGGGGGCTAGGCTAGGCTAGCAGGGTTAGCAGTGTCCAGGCTTGGCTCAGACTGTCTGAGAAGGACTGTATTAGGTGTGTTACTTTGTGAAAGCTCGAAGCCCTGAAATAACCCTGCTTCTTGCACCTTCACCTACATCCCACTGAGCTCCACACACAACATTTTAGGCTTAAAACATGAAAAAGACATCCTGCGTTTGCAGCAATTTAGCTTATGTAAGCCTATACTGTGACGTATTTTTCAGAGCATGACAACACAAATCCTCCACACACCGTGGACATTGACTCAAGCTTTTCAAAAGCAGCAGCATTCCTTTTCATGGTCGGAGGCAGAAAATACTGACTCTATTTTTACCACGTTCCTAACCCACACATGCAGCCTCTTTTCCAAGTCACATTTCTTGTGACTTGTGGAGAAGCTGCACGGAAGGCCCGCTGTGTGTTTTCTGGCTCCGAGTTTGAGGACTAAGCAGGGTCTGAACATTCGACAGCCTTCAGGGAGGTTTGCGGGATGATGGCCTGACTCAGTGGGCAGAATAATGATTATTCAGGCCTATGGCGTTATGATGAACATAACGTCTGAGCAAAGCTGAGCCCCAGAATATCTTCTCTCAGTCTTTATGAGGTAACGAACACTAAATCACAGCAGACAGTCTGTTTGGGCTTGGCAGGCCACAGCACGTTTACTGCTAAAGACAGTACTCCTTTAAAAAGATGAACTTTCAGGTAGATCACACATTTTATAGAGGCAATGTCTGGCTTTGTCATGAGAATCCACAGCACACATAATGCATACAGCCAGGCTACAGAAAAACGATACCTGAAAATATTTACTAATACTCAAAATAAACCTCAACCATCTGATAAAAAGGATTTGTTACCAAGTTTAGATCACAGAAACACAATTAGACATTTTTCCGTGGTGGTGCAGTGGTGGCCTGTCAGTCATACACTGCAGTCACTATGTGGTCAACCCACTGGTTCTCATTTACTCAGGAAGGCTGGGTGAACTTCAGTGTTCATACACTTGTGTGCTTGCATTACAATTAAGCTTGGTCCACCATACACTTGTAAGCAAATAAGTCCAATCACAAGCTTTTTATGCAAATCAGGTCCAAGTTCAACCAGTGTCTTTGGTCCACAGCAATATTCCAGTAAAATACTTAACTACCAAACACACAACATGTGTTAAGCTTAGGTAGCTTAAAGATGCCCTCCAGACATATATTAATAAGACAAATATACAAGTAGTCTACTTCTCTACTTCTACTACTACTTCAAGTGTCAAACTCTGCACATACATCATTCTGCACAGTGAAAAAATTCTAACACAATACAGAAACTTAGTTAGTTAAACCTAAACATAACAATTTCTGTTTCTTAATCTACGCTTGGCTGCCAGACAGTTTGTTATATAGGCCCAGGATCAAGCTTTAAGAGTTTACAATGCAGATCCAGGAAAAAAACCTGGTTGTTAAACCTACATTAATCCTTTTTTGTCCATCTGAGGGCAGTGGAACAAGCTGTAAACACAACTTCTGACATTTAATCAACTTATAAAGTTGTTATGGCAAAAGGGATTTCAAACTGCTTATTTACACGTCCAGCCGACAAGGAGAAACATTAGCATTCATTTGGAATCATGTTTCAGGCCATCAGTAGAATATAAATCCTACATTCAATTCCTGTTAGCTCGGTTTTCGGTCTCCACTATCTTCTGAGACAAATCTTCCTGTTTAGCTGCTATATGCTCCCCTATGTCTTTCTGCCACTTGGTGCTAAGCAGATATAGTACAGTGGGTTTATCTGAGCTTTTACACAAAAAACAGCTGCCTGCTGATGAGAGCTGTGAGACGGAACCAAATAGTTAATTTGCGTGCTATAAAACTAAAACAATGAGTTTATGAGATGTTCACAGACATAAGCAGCTCCTTTTATTTAACACAATCACTCAATTCTATGTTAATATAAATGTTTTGATGATTGCAGCTTTACCCGCTCATGTACTAAATCTGGCGAAAGTTAGATAGTGTTGTCTAAATACAAATTCAATCCAATTTATTAGACCCTTTCCAGTCAAACACAGAATAAAAATGTCTCTTCAATTACAGTGTGTTGACACAACAAACATACACCTCCAACATGAAAACCCAACAGAAAGCGGGGGAAGTGGCCTGACCTGTCACAGAGGTTGTTGATTGCACCAAAGGAGTCGCAGGTGCAGGGCAGGCATCCGCTGGTGCCGTTGGTGAAGTGTCCCTCCTCGCAGTCCTCGCACTGCAGACCGGCGTAGCCCTGCACACACGAGCACTGACCGGTGCTCTGATCACACTCATCCGGGTCCAAGATCCCCTCACCACCACTGCTGCAGTTACAAAGGCCCTCTGCGTGGATGAACAGGGGTGTCACAATGAAAGGGAGAGACATGGGGAAATACTGTATGAGCTGTCTGAACAATATGTGGTTATTTACATTTTATTTTACTTTATATGATTTATATTGCATGTCATGTACATTTTATGTGACTTCTGGTTTTATTGTATAAATCTAACCTGGGCCATTTTACTGATTGACCAATTATACATTTAGCTATTAAAAAAGCTATTGCTGGCTAATCTGCATTAACTGTGGCAAGATTTGCATTGGTAGAAAACTACTATAATGATATAATAATTAGAAGAGACCCTATGCCTTTATTATTTAGAAACGTAACCAATCATTTTATATTTAGCTTGATTCCTTCTCTCTAAACTGTTTCTCAAGCTGCTTACAAATGCCATTAGAGCCAGATTATCCGTCTCATGTACTATGT